GCAAAATATTTCATCCGTATATTTGATTAAGAGTGTTAAGGATATGTATATTAATGGTACGCTTAATATCAATGTAAACGCAATCATGACCCATCGGTATGATCATAACCTTAAATTTTACCCTCCGCAGAAACGCCGGTTACTAACGCACGCACACCTTTACAAACACAAAAAAGCCACAGCTCAAAATCCCATTAACTGAAACTCAAAAGGAAACTTATGACGAATTCAACGCCAATTTTCTTGTCTGAGAAAGTTAAAAACCGCACTTCTCATCCAAATCTACGTAATCGTGACCTGAAATCACCCCTTCCGAAATACACACACCTGCTTGGTATTAGTGCTAAAACATTTACTTTTACGCGGTAGTTCTGAATTTCAGGACTCGAAACACGTGTCGCGGTGACTGACGAGAACGAACCGGATTGGTGGAAATTTAGGGATCACGCGCGCGAGGGGACCGGGAAAGCTTCGGGGAGAGGACACCACCTCGTGAGGAAGGCTCCTGTACGACTGAAACAGTGAAAATCGTCTAAGCTTCGGGGATCAGAGTCCCGCATCCCCGACCCATAGAGCGCGGCTCGGCGCACCGTGGCACTGGCGCAACCCCCGCACAATCCAGTAGGTCACTGGCACGGAGCTCAGCCACCCCGAATCGCTCTTCACCCCTATTCTGCCGCGCTAAGGAAAAACGCCGTATGAACCTTCAGGCGTTGCCAAATTTCTCCGGATAAAACATGTATTTTGGGGGAATGTTATGCTTATTTTTCTCCAACATTTTCAGATATTTTGGATAAAATTGCGAACAGAATCAGCTGAAAAATTCGAAGAAAAAAATATTCAAATTCTTTCCAGTATAACTTCGATTTTTATCGAAGGAAATCTGGTAATGGCTGAAGGCTCTCTGGCACAGGGTGGCATGAAACGTAAGAAAGAAATGAAAGATTGGGAATTTTACAAGGCTGTGAAATATTTCATATTTTTCAGGGGCCAGAGTATGCAACCCGCACTCAGACACCCAAAAATAGAAGAAAATCACAATTTTTAAATTTTGCGACACATGAAAAGAAACCGGTACAGGGTGTCTACAAGTCCGAAAATAGTACTGATTTTTTCAGGGCGGTCCGGAAGTACTGATAATGTTCAGAAATTCCGCAAGAAGATCCGGAATTTTTCTAATTTTTCTGTCATTTCTGTCATTTTTGTCTCAATTTGAGCGAAATTAAATTCTCTTAAATTTCATCGATAATCGGAAGTACTGAAAAAGTACTTCATTTTTCTGTTGAGGAGGTACTGAATTTCTTGGGAATGTAATGAAACAGAACTGTAAAAGTACTGTTTTTGGTTAGCCTGTTTCAGTAGACACCCTGCGGTATTTTTCAATATCTTTCATATATTTCTGAAATTTCATGAAGTATTTCACGTGGAATTTCAAGATTTTATTTTTCACGAAATTTTGCCACCCTGACCCAGTGTGCGACGCTAAGCCGCGACGCCTGAAAGGCTACCACCCGCTTGCCGTTCAATCGATAGGAGGAACAGAGAGCGCGCGAGAGAAGCGGGGCTGCACGCTGGGACGGGGACAGCGGCCCTTGCGGACATCCACGCTCTTATTCCGGGGGGCGCATTCCCACGAGTAGACGTTTGTGCGTGGCGCACCCCCCTCCCCCGCCCCCTCCGTCTCACGCGCCCCCTTGCCACGTCCGTCGTCGGGGTGTCTGTGTTATTAGGAAGCTTCATTATTAACACATCCCCCCCTTCCCCTCCCTCGGCAACAATAATTAGGGAAATGAGGTCGTCAGGAGCCTAATTGTTCCGACGTTATTAATACTTTCTTCGCCTTGATGGTGGATTTGTCTTGCTTAGGCACTGTTGTTGCTTAGCGTCCTGAATTTCAACCCTTGAATTCTAGAGATCGCTGCTTGGAACGGAGCCTGAGGCGGTGTTAAAACAAGATGATGAGTTTTTAGAAAGTCAAGAAAACTCTGAAAAATTCGGTCAATATTACTCAGCTGTAATGAGACCGGGAAAAGTTAGGAAGCTTTGATGTACGACCTTCAATTTTCTTGTCTTTGGGAATTTTTTAAAGCCTTAATCTCACCTTTAGGCGTCAGTAACATTTCCCTGCCAAATATCCTTGAAAAATCGGGATTGTTTTTATCTATAAATGCTGATACTTCAGAGAAAAGTCGGAAAATTTTAAAATTCAGAGAAAATTCGTATCCTCCAATGTATGAAACATCATTGAATTTCCTCATCGAGTCATGTAAGACTTGACTCTCCCAAAGGATGGTTGATTTAACTAGCTGATCTTTACTAAGTGAATCCTCTTATTAGCTGTAGTATTAACGGTGGCGGGGCGGTGAATTAAGGGGAGAAGGGTCGGTATTTGTAAGTCCCTTAATGTACGCAAAAAATGAACTTCTTTAAGGAAATTGTGCTTGCTGTATATACCCTCTTTCCTGTACACATCGAACCATTGCAATCAATATTCAATTCAACCAATTTAACCATTTCTTCTCTTTCTTATTTGTTGAACTTTCGACATTTTTTTAATGGATAAAATATAGTTCTATGACATTTTAACCAAAAATGTCTTCGACTTCCTCGCAGGATGGAACAGACGTGCAGGCCACGTCATAACGTCACGGAAAACATGATGCTGTCAATCAAGATATCTATCTCATATGTTCCGAGGCCTCTCACCTTTAGCATCATGTTTTTTTCCCAAATCGCATCTAACATTAAAGTTTTTTCACCTTGATCACGTGATTCTCCGATCTAATATGTTTTATCACGTTACGTGACTCGTGGTAGTAGCAACGAAAAAACCGCGAAATCTGGGGAAATCAGCAGCGTGGTTAACCCTCCGGATTCCGAGCATTTTTCCACCGAAGAAAACGTCAACGCTGATAAGATAAACGAACCTGCAACGTATTTTTTGTTCAGTATTTACAAGTTCGAGCTTTTGATTAACTCATCGAAAGCGCGCAAGGTTCTGACGCGGTCAAAAGGATGCTTTTGCGAAGCATTCAACCAAACAGTGATTTTCTCGCGTCCAAATATTTGCAATTTATTTAGAGCAGCGGTAGAAAGAAATCCTGATAACGAAGATCATCAAGTATCAAGTATCATTCTCGAGATTTTACGTTTTCTCACGCGGGAGTATGCAACAAGAACCTTGACACGCTTTTCATTGAAAGTTTTTATGCGTCGCGCGATTTCAATCCGTTTTGCTTTTCCTTCAATAATCTTCCCTTCTAAGATTCTCTTTCGTCACTCTGAAAACTGCATGCCGTGTTATCAATCCCCATGAATCATCAAAAATCATCGGAGACTAGAAGAAAATTCGGCAGCCCTGCTTTTCGGCCTCGGTGATCTGCGGTTTGCCGACCCCCCTCCCCCCTGTGATGCGTATACGCACCCCGCCCACCTTGAGAGGTTCATGGCCACAACCCCCTTTCTCTTCCCCCTACCTCCCGCCGTGCTTTCCCCATTCGTTTTTGTCACTTCAGTCTCGCTTTCCTCTCATCCCCTACCTTCGTAACTGCAAAAAGTCACCGGGCGAGCTTTTGGCGCGCTTTCGCTTTCGTCTGGGTCGCCGTGTCAGTGACGTCACTGAGACGTCTGTATTCGCGGGCTTTATTTGATCGGAGAACTGCCCCCGAGAGCATCAAACGTTCCTCGTCTGGTCGTTACAACTTGACTGTGGGTAACTAGAATCAGCTAGAGACCTCATCTTTTAAACGAATTTTTTCTCTTCGCGCGTTTTCTCATTTATCAGGAAGTCACAATTTTAAGCTCGGAAATTCAAGATTAAATCGCAACTTACTTGATTCTTACTTACTCGATTCTTGTTGATCAGCTACAATTAATAAGATCTGTTCAAATAGCAATTTTCTACGTTCAATATTGACCGATATATCGCGAATCGCGCTTTGAAAAATTCGGTTTATGCCGTTATTCACCGCGGTAGTGACACCCGTAGTTTCATCAGTCAGGAAAAGACACACCTCTGCACTGGTTACTGAACGTGAAACTTGGATGAAACCAAGGTGGAGGAAACCAAGGGTGTTACGACCGCTGTGGATGACGTCATAAACCGAATTTTTCAAAGCGCGACATCTCGGCTAATATTGAGCGTAGTAAATTGCTGTTTGGATAGATCTTATTATCTTCATCTGATCTACAAGAATCAAGCTTCAAAAAAATTCCGTGACCAGCGCAATAATTGACCTATTCTGTCGTCCTAAGAAAAAAGGCCGCACCTTCATTCGACACTTTTTCCATGTTTTTCTGACAACAAGTTGTTTTACGAAAAAGCTATCAAAAAATATTCATCCTTCATTCTTCCGATACAACTCTGGCACACCATTAGGAACTCAAACTGAAAAAATGAAGCCTTGGGGCAATTACGTTTCTTGTAATAGAGCACCACGTACTAGGAAAAAGTAAAATAATTGGAGTGAAGTCACGGCGTTTCTGCTGAAAACGGCAGCATTGCTTAGGATATAGATGCCGCAGGCCAATAGTCATATCAGGCGTATTGTGAAATGCCTAGGCAGATAGGCAAATATTCTCTACTAGACTGAAAAAACGAATCAGTTGCACGATTTTGACGATTTAAGCCTTTGAAAATGTTGAAAAGAATGCCCAGCAGAATTTTAGATCATTTTAAGGCCGTTTCAATGATTTTCAGAGCTTGAGCGAGCAATCATCTCGAAATTTGCAATGTTTCGGAAAAAATAAAATATTTTCAATTTCAAATTCCAAAATTTCTCTAAAGCCAATTCAATGGTGAAATTCTACTGCAGTTCTCAATTCTTGTTTCTTCTTCAAAAAGGGATTCTTGTTCAAAACATTGATAAATTGAGAGCTCCACGTCAAAAACATAGAAAACTTCGCATATCTGCAGAATTTGACGAATTGCCTAGGCATTTTTTAAGTGCCTGATTTGACTATTTGCCAGCGACTAAGATAAGTACTAGAAGGGTACTCACTTGTGGAATGATACTAGCGGACTGAGAGCTGTCCTGTTTCTCTTTGATGATGATCCCGCTGGAGTTGAGGGTCTCGAAGGTGGCCTCGTGCGAGTTCTGGAGGCGGCCATCGTTGGCCTCGTCCTTCTTGGGGTCCTTCTCGGACTCGGACTTGATGATCTCGGGCACGGTCGGGGCGGTCAAGAGGAGGTTGAGCTCCTTCTGGGCGCCGGACGTCATCTTGATGCCCTTGTTGTAGAGGTTGTACTTGTGGACGTTGTACTTGTTCTTGCTCTTCTTCCTTTGGGAGCTGTGCAACAGGGCGACGGTGGAGCCGTTGGTGGCCACCGAGGTGGAGCTCGAGCAGGTGGACGAGAGGGCGCTCGGGGGCGGCCGGTGGTGCGAGCTGTGGATCCTCGCGCCGGCTCCGTACACCGCCGTCAACTCTTCCTCCGAAAGAGACTCGATCGACCCGCTCTGCGAACATAAACAAAATAAATCCATCAGTTAATTCCCAAAATAATACTCTTTCTAACAAACTGATTGCAGTGGATGCACGAGTCATTTAGACAGAAAGTTGGAAAGCTGGCGCTGGCATAGCCAACGCGAGTTAAAAATCAGCATAAATCCGAAAATATCAATACAGACGGTAATTGCTGATTTTTAAATGCTGAAAAAATGACGCAGCTTGATGGCCTGGTTACACGCTCAAATTTCCGTCAAATTCCGATCAAAATAAATTATGACCAAGATGGCGGTCGAGAGTTATCGACACTGGTAAAAAAAACCTCTTGGTTCAAGAGTGCAGTTTCTTGTCGCCGGATTTAAGAATTTGGACTCGTGTTTCAAGCGGATTTTGAATTGAATCAATGCAAAATCCGCTTGAAACAAGAGTTCAAGACTCTTAAATCCGGCGACAAGAAACTGCACTCTTAAGTCAATGCACCGCGGCATTGGTCCAAGAGGGTTTTTTTTACCAGTGATGAGTAAAATTAATTAAAACAGCGTGTTGATTGAAATAAGCCTGAAATAAGCACGGTTGTGTGGAAGCTCCATCATGTACCATCAATTTTTTGCAGGCCGCAGAAATTTGATGGTAGATGGTGCGCACCAGTCACCATTTGATCGGAAATTGATGGAAATTTGAGCGTGTAACCAGCACATGAAGCTTATCACTGCGTAAAGTTGAGAGAAACACGTGATACAACTACAACTACTTGAAGGATGCCCGTCTTGCATACGTAAAAATTTGAAGGAGCTATGGTTTCCTTTTTCTACTTTAAATTACCGACAAGTTGCTTTTGAAAACTTTTAATGTGCCCTCTGTGTTCTAAGGCTCTTCCCGATAGCACTTTCATCTTACATCTGATTCCTAAAAAAAAACACGTGTTTACGCTCTCTCAGTACGTAATAAATCAACGACTTGAAAATAAATTCGCGGCCCCGGAAGACACAAGGTGAAAGAATCAATAAATGAACCGTTTGAATGAATGTTCGAGAACTTCAATTATTGTGATTCCGAATATTATCTCAAATTTGACGCAGGTCATTCAAACCAGAGAAATCGATTTTGAATCGAGTGTCTCTTCACGGAAGCCAGTGACGCTCATTCTGCCAACTTTGAAAGAGCGCGTTTCAAAATCCTCGGGATTTGCGAGTGCAAATCACACCGATTAAGGTGATCAACTCCTCAAGTATCACTCAGGTGTATTTGTTTTACAATTCTGATAACCGGAGTCGAAGTGCTCAGTCGTGGGCTATTTTGGCTTCCGTTTTTATAAATCTCAGAAGTTCGCAAGTGTGGAAAGTAATGGGGAATTGCCCTGAATTATTGTCATGTTTGACGCATAGGTACTTTATTTTCCATCAGCGAGAGGAAATAATTTAGGTCGAGGCTATGATGCAACCGAAGAGGAGAAAGAAGGAGAAGAAAACCTAGCGTGGAAAGCAGTTCATTAAAACTTAATTGCCCTCTCCATCTCTAATTCGACGCCCAGAAGAATCGATGCTGGGGGTTGAGAATGGGGTAATTAAACAGTGAAAACCCGCTATAAATGCCAGAATTGGACTGAGTTCAGTGCAAAAGAACTAAGTAAATGGCCACGTATTTTAAAGCATCTATTTGTATAGGAAAATCAATGGCATGTATGTCGTTTTTATTTAAGCTGGGTAACTAGGTTTCTTCTTGCCAAACTCGGTCTAATTGAAGTTCGAGCAAGAACAGCTCGCTTCTCCCCCTTTTATGTTTCAAAGGCTGCTGAATTTCAATTGGGCACTGTCTTCAAAATTTCACAATTTAGATCCTTGTAATTTGTTAAAATTTAACTCACTTTTAGGCTGAAACTTTGGCTTGACGCATTCTCGTATTTTATTCAATTGTTGAAATGAAGTTTGGACAATTTTTCAAATAAAATATTTTAGATTATTCAAAACTCTACCAACTGCAGCAAATCCGCCATCGAACATCCTCAGTTTCTATTAATTCCTAAAGGTTTTCGCTCTACCCTTTGCTCTGTACAATTTCTTCGCACATGTTTGTATAATTTTGTTGTACAATTTGTCTGTATACATGATTTTTCCAAGATTATCATTTAATAAATTATTATTTTTTATTGTTTCAGGTAAGTGCGAAACATGATCAGAAAATCCTTTCTTTTTCCACAATCGTTTAATGTTTCGGTGTGATGTGATCACAGTTGATTTCTGGAGGAAGAAACTCAAATTTCGAAGAACAGAGAGAAAATGTCAGTATGTAAGTCTACGAAACAACTTCTTCGCCCGCATGTAATTTTTCACTTTGATTCTTTAGGTCAAATGCACTTTTTTTGTTTTTCACAATAAATTATCCAGCGAGGTAGCAAAAAAATTAGGGGAGCTTGTCAAGACAATCAGATATGCTCAAACAATAAATTTGCGCAACACCCGTAACATCCTCGCATTAAGCGGAGCATTCATTATAAAGTGTAAGACAGAGATACTTTTGTTCCGAAGCAGTTAATCTGATTACACTACCTGTTTTCCTTTGATCATGTCTCTATAAAAAATCGTACCAGTCGAATCACAACCAAATCCGCACACGCAAAGTACTTACGTTTGTTTTGGCGAGGGCTGTCATGCGAATTTTTTACAACTAATAGGAACCACGTGAATTTGTCATAAATTTGTTACTAAATTAATCTACTAAGCACGTAATATCACAATGAATTCACTAGATGAGAAAGAGAGGTAGAAATCGGCGCGGGTATTTTACAAAATCGCGTATCACAAACCACCGGTCAAGCCGCTTAGTTTATCTGTCGGTGTAAAGTTTCGGGGGCCGTATCGCGAGGGATTCAAATACTATTTTCGAGCGAAAGAGCGAACTTTCAAAGTACATTTGAAGCTACAACCGCGAATCCGAGCGCATGGGAACTTGTGAGCGAATAACCGAAATCACAGCAAAGGGTCTATTTTATATCCGAGACCCTCAGACTTATCTTCGGGCTCTCGATGAGTGATTTTCCGTTGAGGTATCACGTAAGTGTTGGATGGTGACCCTCGAGGAGGCAACAGTCATCAACACCGGTGAGACGCGTGCTTGTTGTGTGTGTTATCTGGCAGCGGCGGATTTTTCCGAAATCCCATTTCGCGGGTCGGATCCCGGTCTCGGCTCGAGTGGGGCAATTTTGCAACGGTAGTGAGTGCTGTCCGAGACGACACTTGACCGTATCTCTCGAGTGCCCCGGGAAGGCGCGCGCTTCTCGCGTGACTTTCAAAGTTCGCTGTCCCGTCCCGTGTCAAAAAAAAACCGGAATTTTATTTATCTAAATCCGAACTTTGGTTCCGTGTTTTCGTCTGGCCCTAGAGTACCTTTTTAGAGAGAGCATGGGCATAGGAAGATCTTTTTCTGCAGGGGTGCAAAAAATTCTTGACCACGTGACCAGAAGATCACGATCCCTAGCGTGGGAAAATGGGAAAGCTGCGTAGAATTGCTCCTTTTTCTGCAAGAGCATGGTGAAAATCGTGTATTTTTTGCATAATTGCTGCAATTTGTTCGTAAAGAGCAATTAACATGGTCCTCACTGTGATATATTTGAGAAAACATGAGTTTTATGGATGGGAGGGTAAATCCAAAAGATTGGAAGGCTAAGATCTCTCTGCATCCCAGCATTTCTGATTGACGCGGTCATCTCAGGCTCCATAGATCTCTGAAGATACAATTTTATTGATGGCGAAATTACGAAACCACGTATCTCTATCTGCGACGTTGGAGACTACCTGTCGTACTTCATTTGGACTGCATTAAGCAGGAAGGAACCAAACCACATCAGCTATTGCCAAATTTAATTGGTCACTTTGATTTTTTACATGAAAACTTGGTTGTGCGGATTTTTGTGAAAATTTCAGTGAATTTTTTGATTAGTACAAGGCAAATTCTTTAAAATTTTCACAGGAATCCGCATCAACGCTCGTTCGTAAAAAATAGAATCGCCCAGTAAATTTGGCGATAATTGATGTGGCTTGGTTCCTTTCTGCTGAACGCGGTCCAATTTTTCTCTGGAAAACTAGTCAACGTAATTTCTCGAAAACTTCCTTGAATTTTTAGAATAGTCTCGCTGTCGAGCAGTAGAAAAATTTTGGATCTTCGTAAATAATTTTTTCTCTTTCATTGCTATTCTATATAGTTCAATGTTGAACGTTTCGTAGACGTCTTATTTCTATGTGTAAATCTACACAGCAGACTGAATCAATTTACCCCCGAAGAATTGGAATTTAAAGATGAACATCATCTCGAAGCTGATTTAAAATCGTAGACAGCTGAATCATTTCTCTACCGCGGATTCGTGGATGATGCACCCGCCGCTGGCCACTCGAGAAAAGCAATTTCCCTGCCGAGTTACGTGACCCGTTGTCAAGGCATGTGCCCCGGCTACAAGCTAGAGAGTCCCCCCTCTTGAACCTGTCATTTTAAGTTTCAACAGCTTAAGCCGCCAATGCAATTGGAAAGTTCTGCGGTTATTTCTGTCCTTATAACGACTAATTTTGTTTTTGTCCCATCGAAAATTTTTCCAGACACGCGCCCCTGCTCTCCACTTGGATTTTTCACGGAGCATTTTCAATGAGACTGAAGTATAGAAACGCCATGCTACGCACAGACTTACTGGTAGAAGTCATCCACTTCAATTTTTTAAGGGAATAATTTCGTTAACACTGAACGAGAAAAGCTAGAACTTGAAAAAAACTGCATCATTTTTTGAAGATCTATAAAGTGAATAATAGAAATGCAAAACATTCTAAGTACCGCCGAGTTTTGCTGAGATTATGCAACTATTTCTAATAGCTTGAGAATTATTATAATTCTTGTCCTTTTCAGACCTTTTACCCAGGAATTCTCCCACAAATAGATAGTCAAGCAACACGCTGTCATGCATGATATAATTGCCTTTTTAAAGAAAATTGGGAGTGCATGTGCATAGTCATTATTTCATCATCAGAGAGACTTGAACAGAAAACCAGAGTTAGCAATAAAAGCGTCAGGTGGATTCAAAAATGATTTGCCGTGAGAGAAGATTTTTGTATAGGCAACATGAGATACAAATCTAGGAATAGATAACTAGTGCTACACGGGCTGTTGTCCGGCCGACCTCGAAAATTGAAGGCGTAAGCGCAGTGTGTGGATTTGCGGAATCTTCACACACCTATCGTGACAACTATGCTTTCTCTAAATTTTCATCCAGAAAACGACCCCCAATAATACTGAAATCCTCTCAATCTTAGCTACACTTTAACGGAGCTGACACTATTGCATAGAGGTTCTATCCCTCGAATGTTCATTACGATTCTGTGATAAGTCCATTGCATGACGTGCAACGACCCAATAAACCGTTGAATCTGTTCCAATACAAAAACGTGAGAACATTTCTACGGATCACCATCCGTCATTCTTCTCGAATATACTTATCTCATCTCTTTCCTGAACGGCGCTTATTTGAAAAATACACTTGATGCGCGGCGCTTCGTTTTGAAAGTCGCGATTAAGCTAAGCGGAAAGTTACGCGTTTCTTTCCGTTCATTCCAACAATAAGAACAAAATATCGAAACGCGGAAAAGGTCGGATCGTTGTTTGCCATTTCCAGACGGGTGTCCTACTTTTGAATCGAATCAAACGAGCGGGCATTATCTACATTCAGAGCTTTGAAAAAAGACGTGCAATGACAGTGCCGGGAGCTTTCGCGAGAACCACCCAAGGCTCCGTTAAACGCTATAACCATTTAGGTTATTTTTCATTGCGCCGTAAGTACGGCCTGTAATTGCTTACAAATGTGCCTATCTGTTAAAGTACGGGGAGAAACGAGCTACCTTGCGGAGCAACCGCCTTGGTATTCGGTAACGCGCCGTTTTTAATTCGCCAAATTAAGGGCTCGAGTATAGAATTACCCGAAAATCAACCTCCCTACAACTAAATTACACCTAAATTCATCCGCTTAATGAAGAGTGGAAACAAGACCTGGCAAGCGCCATCAAGTTTTGGTAAGATCGTGCGGCTGCCTCTCTAGTTTAATGAGGACTTATGCCCTATGAAAAACAATTTCCACCGTGAAACTAATGCGAAAATTTAGGAAAAAATTCCCAATAGGAAACCTGTAAGACAAGAGCATTTGCGTTATTTTACATTGAGTATAACTTGGTGCATACAGGCGTATAGCTAGTGCAATTTTCTGGAGGTGGCATGACCCTCAATTTCACAGGTACATCATTTCTCAATTTCATATCAAATTCATGGGAGTAAATTTAACATTTTTTCCACAAAGGAGGGAGAACAAAAGGGGATCAGCACAAATGAGAATTTCGGTGGGCCTCCTAAGGAAAATTGAACTCTCTAAGATAGATCTTGAGGTTATTCTCGCATAAACTTTAAATCTAAGGTTCAAATCTTCCGATAGTGCCCAAGAAATATCTCAAACGTTTCCTTCTCTCTATTGCATCATATAATGAATCGAGGAATTTCACCGGTTCTAAGGCTATTTTCTACTGTATGCAGATTCTTTAGGACAAGCCAGATGACATGGTTACAACTTTTGAAGGGGGATGGTGGGGGGTAGACCTACCCTGTCCACTTAATGACGATGCACATCTTCAGCAACTCGTCACCTTCCGGGCAAAGTATCACAAGCGCCATGCGACGTTTCAAAATTTCCGCCGCCATTTTATTTTATTACAGAGAAATTGTTGGTTGAATCTGTTTGAAAATTTCACTGAATTTTATCGGCATCGCAAAGAAAATTCAGTGAAATTTTCGGACAGCTTCGTTGAACAATTTCTCTGTATAAAAATAAAACGGCGGCGGAATTTTTGAAACGTCGCATGGCGCTTGTGATACTTTGCCCGGAAGGTGACGAACTCTCGATGGCCCTTTCAAGAATTGAATTTCCACTCTTCAAATATCAGGGCTCTTTTACGAAAAGCCTACTATGGATATGTCCAGCTTGTTGAGTTCTATCAATTTTAATACGGTGAAAAATATCCAACGAATATCATTCAGAGATGGGAGTTAAAATTAGGGGGTACTCGACGGTTTGACACGTGAGGACGTCTAGGAATGATGCTGGCCTCTCGAAAGTCGTCTCGCTTTTTTCCGTGTGGAGCGTGGTTTATTTCGTCTGATCCCTGTAACGCGTGTGCGGTTATGATTGCAGACCACTCGACGGCCTGCTAATTATAGTAAAACACTTGAGTTTGCTATTTTTTGTTATCTAGCGCCCGTTGTTCCCGGCTGGCGGAGGGGTTCGGTAAAGTCACGCCCACCGTGCGTGACAATCCGCAAGTTGTTCCATCGGGTCAGTCGGAGATCAGCCAACCCTTTACAGGGTGACAATTTCTTGAAATTTCGAGAAAATTTTGGAAAAATCTTGGAATTTCAAACTTTCGAAAAAATTTAGTGTTTCCATGTCTCTCTTTGATTTTTACCCCTTCAGAGAATGATGTCGGCCGGATCATGGGAAATTAATTCCTCATAGGGTGGCAAATTCTCGAAATTTCAAGAAAATGTAGTGTTTCCATGTCTATCCTTGATTTTTCCCCCTATAGAGAATGGTGTCGGCCGAATCATGGGAAATTAATTCCTCACAGGTTGACAAATTCTCAAAATTCCGAGAACAATTTTGAAAAATCTTGAAATTGCAAACTTCCGAGAAAATTTAGTGTTTCCATGTCTATCTTTGATTTTTCCCCCTATAGAGAATGGTGTCAGCCGGATCATGGGATATTAATTCCTCACAAGGTGACAAATTCTCGAAATTTCGAGAACAATTTTGAAAAATCTTGAAATTGCAAACTTCTGAGAAAATTTAGTGTTTTCATCTCTGACACTGATTTTCCCCCCTATAGACTATAGTGTTGGCCGCATCATAGGGAATTAATTGCTGAATATAGTAAAAA